AGGTACACACATATGATGTTATTTGTACTTGAAAACAAGTATATGTGAAGTTTTGTACACTCGTCGTGTTATATGTACTTGGACATAAGTATGTGCAGATCCAACAGACCCAGTATTAATCAACATAATAATTTATATAATTTTTAGGTCACCTGAGACAAAGTCTCAAGTGACCTATTGCGATCGCCTTTTGTCCTTCGTCGTCCGTCATCCGTCGTGCGTCCGTAAACAATTTACATTTTCCAAAAACCCTGAACCAATTTCAATGAAATTATGCAGGAACCTTCCATGGACAAAGGTCAACAAAAATAGTTGCCGGTTTAGTCCCAAACCCCCAAGGACCTGAGGGGCGGGGCCAAAAAGGGTCAAATTGACTAAAATTTCAAAAATCTTCTTCTCAAGACCCAGATATGGTAGAATCAAATACTCTTCATAGATGGAAGGGTCTTAAGGTGCTTTACCAAAATTGTGAATTTCATGACCCTGGGGTATCACGTTTCCCCCTGGGGAGGGGGTAAACTTTACTATAGTTTATATAGGGAAATCACATTTTGGACCAACATTTGTTTAATTTCCATTGGAAGTAATTCAATTTGGGTTAGCATTATCAGTATTAGGTAGCAGTTTGATAGTATGCACCTATGAGCCCTGACTGACCCCCAGGGGCTGATGGGTGGGGCCAAAAAGGGTTGAATTGACTGAAATTTCAAAAATCTTCTTCTCAAGACCCAGATATGGTAGAATCAAATACTCTTCATAGATGGAAGGGTCTTAAGGTGCTTTACCGAAATTGTGAATTTCTTGACCCTGGGGTCTCACGTTTCCCCCTGGGGAGGGGGTAAACTTTACTATAGTTTATATAGGGAAATCACATTTTGGACCAACATTTGTTTAATTTCCATTGGAAGTAATTCAATTTGGGTTAGCATTATCAGTATTAGGTAGCAGTTTGATAGTATGCACATATGAGCCCTGACTGACCCCCCAGGGGCTGATGGGTGGGGCCAAAAAAGGTTGAATTGACTTAAATTTCAAAAAACTTCTTCTCAAGACCAAGATATGGTAGAATCAAATACTCTTCATAGATAGAAGGGTCTTAAGTTGCTTTACCAAAATTGTGAATTTCATGAACCTGGGGTCTCTCGTTTACCCCTGGGGAGGGGGTTAGCTTTGCTATATATAGTTTATATATGGAAATCACATTTTGGACTAACATTTGTTTAATTTCCATTGGAAGTTATTCAATTTAAATTTGTTATGGTTTATAATGGCAAATGATACTTTGAATATTACATGTTAATAACTTGATTGGAATTATAACCTTGAGATGACAGTTTGATACTTTGAAAACTTTGAGCCAGCCCTACCCCCAAGGGCTGTAGGGTGGGGCCCAAAGGAGTCAGTGTGCTAAAATTTCTTCATTTTCCTTGTTTAGAATCAGAGGTGCTAGTTTCAAATACTTTTTAGTCTTAAATCTGTATGCTAGATATTGAATAAGGTGGTTTTATTATTTTTTGTCACTTTGAATAATATTTCTGTACATGTTAAAAACAAAATCCCCTCTCTGTATAAATATATCTGGTGACCGTTAAGGCCCATGGGCCTCTTGTTAGCTCACCTGGTTTGAAGGACCATGGTGAGCTAATGCCATACGGCAGCGTCCGTTGTCCGTCCGTCCGTTGTCCGTCTGTCAACTTTACCTTTAAAACGCTACTAGTCCTGAACGGCCAAGTAGATTTAGACTAAATTTGGTCTGGAGCATTCTAAGGCCAAGCTAGGGGACTCAATTTTGTATAAACGGTGATTGTGGCCCCCCTGGGGACAGCGAGGCGGGGCCAAATATGGGAAATAGAGGTAAAACCATTAAATCCTTCTTCTACATTAGGGATAATTTAGTCTGGAGCACCCTTAGGCCAAGGGGACTTAATTTTGGACAAATGGTGGATGTAGCCCCACTGGGAGCATAGAGGTGTGGCCCTATAGGGGAAATAGAGGTAACACTCTAAAATCCTTCTTCTACCATAGGGATTAAGGGAATTCATCCAAATTTGGCCTGGAGCATCATTGGGCAAAAGGGACTCAATTTTGTATAAACAGTGATTGTGGCCCCCTGGGCCCCCCGGGGGCAAAAGGGGAATTTAGCAAATTCTTTAAAATCCTTCTTCTTCTGTAGGAATGACAAGATTTTGTCCATAGTTGGTCTAAGGCATTCTTTGGTGAGGGGGACTTAATTTTGTATTAATAGTGTTTCTAACCCCCCTGGGGGCAGAGGGTTGGGGCCAAATAGGCGAACATAACAAATTCTTCAAAATCCTTCTTCTTCTGTAGGAATGACAGTATTTTGTCCAAATTTAGGATGTATATAAGCACTCTTAGTTGAAGGGGAACCATTTTGTATAAACGGTGGGTCTGACCCACCTTGGGGCAGAGAGGCAGGGCCCAATACGGGATATAGAGGAATTATCCTTCTTCTTCCGTTGGGATGAAGGTATTTTGACCAAATTTTAATAGTAGCATCCTATTTGGAAGGGAAATAAATTTTGTATAAATGGTGTGTTTGAAATCCCTCTGGGCAGAGCGGAAGGGCCAAATTGGGAAAATATGAAAATAGCTTTAAAATCCTTCTTCTGTAGTAATGACAGGATTATGTTCATATTTAGCCTAAACCATCCTTGGATGAAAGGGACCTAATTTTGTATCAATGGTGGGTCTGAATCCCCTGGGGGCAGAGGGGCAGGCCCAAAAGCGAAACTTAACAACTTTTTCAAAATCCGCCTTTTCCAGTAGGAATGTCAGGATTTTGTCCAATTGCATATAAATATAATCCCTGACTAACCATGTAATACATATACACTTCCAGCAACATCTGGCTATTTAAACTTCAGTTTTGCAAACATTTCCAGGTGAGCGATACAGGTCCTCTGTTCCTCTTCTTTGACAAGTCAGTTTGGCTAGCTGTTTTTAGAAGCATTTGTCCAGCTTGAGATTTCACTGGGTATAATTAGGTACACATATACAGTGTTATATATATGCTTGTAAGCAATTAAGTGCAGCAGTATACTTAGGTACACATATATTGTATGGTGTATAGTTAGGTACACATATATTGTATGGTGTATAGTTAGGTACACATATATTGTATGGTGTTTATTTATTTTCTTGTTCACAGCCACATCTGCACTTACTGTATACCAGGACATTTTTGCTGAAGTTCAATTTTCATCTTTTTTGCCCTTTGTAATGAGAACGAATTTATCATAACAGCTGTGAAACAGTAGTATGTGATATAATAAATCATAGTCATCATTGTCAAATGTGAAATTAAGATTGGTAGAAAATGTTTTTAACAGGCTTGGGGCAATAGTTTCCTGTTATATATTATTAGCTCACCTGGTCCGAAGGACCAAGGTGAGCTTATGCCATACCGTGGCGTCCGTCGTCCGTCCGTCCGTACGTCAACAATTTCTTTAAACGACTTCTTCTTCTTAACCACCGGTTGGAATTAAACTAAATTTGACTGGAAGCATCCCTAGGTGGTGGGGATTCAAAATTGTACAAATGGTGGGGCTGACCCCCCAGGGGGCTGAGGGGCAGGGCCAAAAGGGGTCAATTTGCCCATATTGCTTTAAGCGACTTCTTCTCTGGAACTAAGAAGTGGATATCAACCATATTTGACTGGAAGCATCCCTAGGTGGTGG